CATAATTAAAATGAATTGCTGTTAGAGAACCCCTACTACTGCATACAGATTTATGAACCTTGAGGCACCTCCATTCACAGACAAACAGGGAGAGCAAAAGCTCCCTGTGCAGATGCACTGGGGCTGGGCAGGTGCTGGGAATGGAGGTGTTTACTGGGGAGTGATCCCCACCCCTGCCTTGAAAGGGTAAATAAGGAGTGTGGTGTGAAACCAGGATGCATTCCCAGTAAAGAATGGGGTCTAGGAAAAGGGAACGTGTAGAATCACAGAATCATTAAGGTTGGAAAAGCCCTCCCAGCCCATCGAGTCCAATCTGTACCTGATCCCACCTCATCCTCACCAGCCCAGAGCACTGAGTGTCACATCCAGTTGTTCCTTGAACATCTCCAGGGTTGGGGACTCCACCACCTCCCTGGGCAGCCCCTTCCCTTTCCAGGGAGAAATTCCTCTTCATGTCCAACCTGAACCTCCCCTGTCCCAGCTTGAGGCCATTTCCTCTCATCCTGTCCCTTGTTCCCTGGGAGCAGAGCCGAACCCCCCCCCCCCCTCGACCCCCTCTCCTGTCAGGGAGTTGCAGAAAGCGAGAAGGTCCCCTCTGAGCCTCCTTTTCTCCAGGCTGAGCCCCTCCCAGCTCCCTCAGCTGCTCCTGGTGCTCCAGCCCCTTCCCCAGCTCCATTCTCTTTCCTGGACATGCTCCAGCCCCTCAATGTCCTTGTCATGAGGGCCCAGAACTGGACACAGCACTCGAGGTGCCTGTGGTGGCACAGGGGACAGTCACTGCCCTGGTCCTGCTGCCACACCAGAGCTGGTACAGCCCAACTGCTGCATGTTGTGGAAGTTGGTGGATCAAATATTCCAGGAACACTTGCTATGCTAAGGAATGGCTAATATGTCGCCAGAACTAGATTGTGAAATTGGATTTACAAGGAAAATGTGCTCTACAAAATCCAATGCAACTTATTTCTAGCAAGCTGCTTTATCAGGCTGCCTCGGAATATGGGAATGTATATTTGATAAGATTAGAGAATAGGGGGGGATCAGAAAAAATAAGTCTGTAGACTTTGCATTCCCATTTTCACATAGCTGAAGGACAAACATGTCATTTATTTTGTGTTTGGTTTTGATTCTTGTAGTCCTGTTAATGTATCCACAGCAGTGGCTTGTGACTGTGCATCCTGCTCAGGTTGTGATTAAAACTTTCTAACATACATTTGGATAAAAAAGAAGTGGATAGAAGTGAAATGCTTGGATTTATAGAGAAAAGAAAACAATTCTAATAATGAAAATATCAAGTCTAAAAGTTCCATGGTGCCTTGTAGAAACATTTTGTAATAAGCAGCAGGAGTGTTCAAATAATGTAATGCTTAAAAGAAAATGTCTCTGATCTTTGAGTTTCTTTAGAGAGGGGAGTTTTTAATGTATAATCAAACTAAAATCCTCCTGTAATTGCACAGTGAGAGGCCTGTGAAGTTTTGGAAAGGCTGCAGATGGGATACAGACTTACAGAAGCAAGAAGATGTTTCCTAATCTATGGAGCCAAAAGTGTGAAATCAGCCTAAGGTTTTCCCACATGTGTGTTCCACATGGGATTCTTTCCAACCGTGTTGTCACCCAGTGCTGGCCACTGGTGGTTCCAAAAAGGCCCCATGGTCACTTTAATTAAGGATTAATTTGTCTGTATCAGAATATTAATACCCAGTTCACGTTGTACTTTCTTCCCCTTTCCACTTGTTCCAGGTCTGCAGGTGCTCAAGAGTCTGTCCAGCTCCTTGGGAAGCTCTTCCCTCTCAAACCATGCTATTAACATTTACCTTTCAATTACAGAGAAGCTCAGACTGGTTTGGGTTGGAAGGAACCTTAAGGGTCATCTTGTCCCACTGCTGCCATGAGCTGGGACACCTTCCACTATCCCAGGTTGCTCCAAGCCCCATCCAACCTGGCCTTGGACACTTCCAGGGATGGGACGGCCACAGCTTGAATCCAGAATTATGAGTTAGTCCTTAATTAATAAAGACATGTGAACACACTTCTCCCTGTGTCCCCTAAGCCAGGCTTGTCCATGCCCTGGGAATAACAAGGCACAAGTTCAGTGGAATACGAGTATTCCATTACAACCTCCCAGCAGGGCAGAGCACAGCTAAAATCCTTCCTGTGCCTCCTAGATCCCACCAAAAGGCTCCTTCTGCTTCCAAACACCAGCCTTCACCCATACCACCCTCATCTTCACACGCACAGGAGAGGAATCCATCTCCAACCCCTCAGCACTCACTGCACCAACAGTTCTGGCTCCAACACCCCACTGGATGCTGATTTCTTTAAGTCTGGAAAAAAAAATCCTTTAAATAAAAGAAAGTTCTCTGAACTCCAGACCTCCAGCTGGAAAATCCCAGTAAGTGACAGTTATTTCAGTCCCTGACTCAGTAGCTCACCAAGGAAAGAGTTTGTGACGCTTTTAAAATGTCAATTCCTGAGCAAAGCCAAGAAGGAAACAAATGCAGAGTAATTTTAAAAAGAGTTTGTAAGAAAAGGGAAATAGCTGGTTTGAGTTATTTAGCAAAGAGAGGCTATTTTTTTGAGATTAGGTAGTTTAGGGTAGTTAGGAAATAACATTCAGAGTTTTCTGTCTGTTTTTATGGCCAGGGTTACCTCAGTTGTGCTGAGCATCATGTAGAAGTTGTTCCAATTCTGTTAAAAGCTGAGTCACAAAATCCTACTCTTTACAAAACAGACACTTTCTCAGTCTCTCTGTGCAGCAAATCTCTTTCCCAGGCAAGAGGCTGTGGCAGCTATTTTACAAATAGGATCAAAACATTTTCTCTCCCATTTCTCAACCAAAATACTTCTGTGTTGAAAATCTGAGAGGTGGTTTGGTTGTTGTGCCAGCCTTTATGGCAAGGATTTCAGGGTTCTTATTGTTCCTACTTGGGACAAGGGAATGCCTCTAGAGTAGCCTTTGGGATAAGGACCTGATACCCTTGGTGGAATCGTCCTGAGCCCTTGGTGCCCACTGAGGGTCATGTCTGCACTTAGAATAGAATCATGAATGGTTTGGGTTGGAAGGGACATTAAAGCTCATCCAGTCCCACCCCCTGCCATGGGCAGGGACACCTTCCACTAGCCCAGGTTGCTCCAAGCCCTGTCCAACCTTCCAGGGATGGGGCAGCCACAGCTTCTGTGATGAAAATTCCTCCTTGGTGTAGGGGTGGGAAACTGCTGCTCCTGGCAATAGGCAGTTGGCTTTAAATAAAGCTCTGCTGGGTGAGAGATGCTTGTTTTGAAACAAGCAGAACAATGAGTTCATATGATGGCAATTGTTCAGGGCACTGCCACAAAGCTGGTACTAAGGTAGAAAGGAATCAATATTTCCATGGTTTTATGCTGAAAATAGAAAATGTCTGTTTTTACCATCACTACATGTTCAGTAATTCAGGTGTAGCAATGTCTAAACCTGCAGGGAAAGCCAGACAGCAAAAGTTCTGTAGAATGTATGGCCTTAAGCTGAAGAACAGCAGGTTTAGATAGGACATTAGGAAGACCTTCTTCCCTGTGAGGGTGGTGAGGCCCTGGCACAGAGTGCCCAGAGAAGTTGTGGCTGCCCCAGCCCTGGAAGCTTGGACGGGGCTTGGAGCAATCTGGTCTAGTGGAAGGTGTCCCTGCCCATGGCAGGAAATATAATAAGATGAGTTTTAAGGTCCTTTCCAAACCAAACCAGTCTGTTATTCAATGAATTTCAAACTAAAGAAAAAGGATCAGCTTGGAGCTCCCCCTCTGGTGTGATTTGGACTGACTCAAACACAGAGCTTGGTATAACTTTTGTAAAATAACACTGCCAGGTAAAGTGAGCTCTGTGGTTTTCCAGGTTTTGAAGAGTAGATGATTCAACAGCAGGATGAATAAATAATGAAGGAAAGTGAGATTATAAATTGTACTTCCTCATTTGAAAGGACTTGTCTCTTGATTCATCATTATAAATGTGTTACAAACTTCGGGTCATTTACAAAATAATAGAACACTTTAAGATTACCCTTAGCTTTATGTAAATGTAATTTTAATATTCTATCTTCATTAATTATCTAATCTTGGGAGCAAATAAACTCCTGACACAATTCTGTAGCTATTTTGCCAGCAGGATTTCCTTTGAAGTTGACGGCAGTTGTAAGAGGAAGTGGATGACAGGACTGAGCCTCACCGGCACTTTTAGAAGAGAAACTTAAACAGTAGCTGAAAATCCAGACTTCCTATGGGCACAGAGCTATTCCTGAACTGCCACATATTCATTAGTGCCAGAAAAGAGGTGGCATTTTATTCCCACTGCTCCCATTCCAGGGGTACGAGAAAGGTTTCTTCCCACCCCCACACAGTCCTGCATTCTCTGCTTTGCTCTCAGTGCAGTGCCCAGCCCTGAATAGAGACCCAGTGAGGTTCAAGGGGCTGGAGTTGGACCTAGTGTATAACTCTATAGCTCTACTTTCTCTCTATAGCAGGTTTAGACTTCAAATAATTTTGGGAGGTGGGTGTAGGTAAGGCCAGGCTCTGTGGAGCAGCGTGAGCAGGTAAGCATCATACACAAATGTCACAGAATCATGGAATGGTTTGGGTTGGAAGGGACTTGAATGATCACCTCATTCCACCCCCTGCCATCGACAGGGACACCTTCCCCTAGACCAGGTTGCTCCAAGCCCCGTCCAACCTGGCATTGAAGCCAGCTCACAACCCAGAGCCAGGGAAGCCTGTGCAGGCTCCCACTTGTATCCCCACTCAGTGTCCCATTCCTGTGTCAATACAGGCAAATTAGCCCGGATGTTTTCTACCTTATTTTTAATTTCACCAGCTATATGCATATAAATGATCATATTAAAAAGAATTCATTAATAAGTCATATTTAGTTTCTTTAGAGCAAAACCAGTCCATCGGATAGAAAAGCACCAGGTTCAAAATCACCATCCGGAGCCCAACCAGCAGCAGGGCTGATAATGGTCCCCTCAGAGCTCATCAGCTGAGACAACAGATTTCCAAGTGTGAGCTCTGGCATTGCAGAACCCCAGGGCTATTCATTACATTTCCCACTTCCCCGTCTGCTCTCTGCAAGGTAGGGATGTGTATTCCAGGCTATCGCTGTCATTAATAATCTGATCCATGTCTTTCGATTATTTTAGTAATTACTCCACATAAAAAGACTACTGAGTATGATTACAAATATGGCTTTGTTTTGATTGTCTGCTTTGGTGGTGAATACCAGCTGCCTGAAATTCCTTGACTTTGTTTAACAATATAAATAATGTTTGCTGCAGTTTCTGACTGCCTTGCACTGACCCCAGGGGTATAAACTTAATAACACAACACTCTAATAAACTCATCTGCAAACTGTTCAAAGTTCAGAAATTAAACCTTATTTGCATACAAAAAACACATCAAAAGAACATTAAGGGCCAAATTCTGTTCTTTTGAAGATCTGCAGGCACCACTTGCAAACTGCTGCTGCTGTGCCCATGGCCAGGAGAGCAGGATGGACCCAGGGCTTGGCCTATCACCTGCCATGATCAGGGGTTTCTTGGGGGCTGGCAGGGCTGAGCAGGGGCTCCCCAGAGCTGTCTGGCCCCCAAATTCCTTGCTGCTGCCTGTATTGAGGCCAGGAATACCTGTGGTGCAGATACTGCATTATCACCTCCTTGCTCCGTTTTTCCATCCCCAACACCAATTTGACCATTCCTGACTGGGAAAATACATGCACCTGCAGTAAGAAAATAGCATTATACATGGAATATCCCATGAGTGACCATACAGCTGGCCCAGAGCTGGTTGGAATGACCACTCCCCTCTGGACTCTTCAGGAGTAGACAGTGCCCAGCAGGTCAGCCTGCCCTGCGCCCACCGGCCACGAGGCACGACAGGGCTCCTGTGATCCTGGGAATACCCTGGCTGGAGGAGATGGAGGGTGGATCATCGGGCAGATGGGTGCTCAGGCTGATCTCCCGACGCCAGGCTGGTGGCACACAGTGAGTAACTCATCACTGCCACCACAGGAAGGAGCTCCAGCACTGCTCGTGGAGCAGCGCTCCGTGCTCCCTCAGAGCTGCACATACAGCTCTATTTGCTCTGCTCTGATTTCCTTCTCCTGAGCATCACCTCTCCACAGCTCAAATACTGCCAAGGCTCAGGGTCTTGGAGAAAGCTGAGCTCCATCCTCTCCTCACACTAGCAAAGGGAAACTCTGGGATGCAGCTCAGGCAGATGGGGAGGAACCTTGGCTGGTACAAACCTTGTTCCTGCTGGAAACCAGCCCTGCCTGGTGCTGGCAAAGCTGCTTACAGGTATCTCACCGTATCTCCCTTCCAGGAGTGGGTGATTTGCAATTCTGAGTGAGTTCGAAGAAGACATAATGTTCTGTTTTATCTGCAGGGGAAGCACACAGCTTAACCTTTGCCAGCAGCAAAACTCTAGCTCAAGTATTGATCAGCCCTTTAGGAAATAAGTGAGGGCTCCTGACACCAGGATCCATTCACACCTGTTGGGATGGCATTTGGATTGGTCCTCAGTGAGCAACACCAGCTGAGAGGGAACCTCAAACAGCCATGGGAGAGCAAGCAGAGGACCTGTTGGAGGAGAATCAGGTGATTCAGAATCAGAATGAGTTTTGAATTCTAACCCCCACAGTTACTGGGCCACACCAGAAGCTCAGCTTCCTTTTCACCACTGTGACTATCCAATGGCAAATACGACCATGGACACCCACCCCAGACAAAGCCAGGTGCCTCAAAACCAGTCATGCCCATCCTGACCGATCCCAGCACCAGCTCTGACAGAAGGACCTTCTCAGAAGTGCCAGTGCTTTGGTGGAAATCCACAGCAGTAACCACATGGGGGATAAATTAATAATTTGTGGGTGCTCAGAGGGGTCCACCTTTGCTTCCTCCCTGCCATTACTCACAGTTTCATAGAGTTACAGAAGGGTTTGGCTTGGAAGGGGCCCTAAAGACCACCCAAGTGTCCCTTGGCTGCCTTCCAGTCACCTCCAGTTGTAGCCTGATGCCGTGAAGTGTAAAACACAGGCAACAAAAAAAAAAGGAATAAAAATACAGCAGAGAAGTGTTTTTTCTATAAAAATGAAATTTGAATAAAAGTATGTTCATAACGTACATAAGTGGAAACCATGGGGTGTTTTTAGCCCCAGCGTGTTACAAAGAAAATTTTGGTTCCAGGACACCCCCGAAGGGGACAGACATTTATTTAGGAAACTGAAAAAGCACAAATGCAAAGCAAATTTAAAAATCAATTAGTTAAACCAAGGTTTCTCACTTTTTGATTTAAATCACGATTAAAAGCAGTTACTTGGCTGATTTCAATCAATCCACACCGTCTGTCTCAGCTGATCTCGAGCTGTTAAATAAGAACAGAGAAAATCATCGATAACCCATCTGTGTCACAGATGAGGAGCAACCCCAAGGGAACTGTTGCTCCCTGTTTCTCATGTGGTGGCCCCTGGATTTTTGAGGAGTGCCACAAGCCCAGAGGAAGCCACAAAAAAAGAATTTGTACCTGCAGCTCTGTGACAGGAGACAGAAGTAGGGAGGGCTCACGCAGTCAGGGTGTGTAACATATGTATTTACTCTCCCTAAACATAGCATAAAACATCCCTAAGTGACACTGGTGCAGTTAAGTTTCACAAAAATTAGTTTTCCTGAGGGTACTATCCCTGCTTTGGGAAAATTTGCGCAGGAATAAGGGCCAGCAATGGGGACAATGCACCTGCAGACAGCAAAAAACAGGAGGTCAGACATCGTGGAATAATTTAGGGAAAGTCCTCTATGATCATTGAGTCCAACCATCCACCCAGCACTGCCAAGACGACAAAGAGAGCAGGGAAAAACTGCACCAGGGAGAGGAGGAAGAGCAGAAAAGCCCAGGGAAGTGAGTGGGTGCCGGGGCGAACGCCGGGCTCAGCCGGAGCTGTCGCGCCCGTCACGGAGCTGTTTCCCATGTTTGGGCAAATTCCCTTTAGGCTGCAGTTCCCCAGTTGTCTAATTGTCCTTGATGTATGTTCTCTCCCCCAGGAATGCCATCCAGACCTAGCAGCTCCAGATGTCTGAATATTATGCAGGAAGCTGGTAAACAAATTCCTCCTATTTTTCCTGCTAGCAATTAGTAACGTAGGAAGAACACATTGCTGAGCAGGCGAGGAACCCAGCACACATATTTCATATGCATTTAGAGCCACTTAACGCCTCTGGAAGGGTGAGGAACACTCAATACTGTAAATCTGTTCCATCACCCCTTGTTGCTACAAAAAAGTAAAAATAAGGAAAAAAAGCAAATGTTGAAATAAAAGTTAAAATTAGGACAAATTAGTGATTTCAACATCTTGCAGAGTAACCATCTAACACTCAGGTGACAGAGCAGTTCTGCCACCTCCCCTCAAGCAGCTCTTTTAAATTATTTCAACTTTTTACCCCAACTTAACTTTGGAGGAGGTACCTGCCTGCTTCCCGTGCTTCCCCTCTCCGTTAATTTCTTTGCCTGCTCCAGCAATCCTGCCCTAGGAGGGATGGCTTAGGTGGCTTCAGGAGTCTTTACCAGCATTAATTGTTATGATTTTAGAGCCCCACAGGGTGAAGACTTTGAAAAGGAGAATTTGTTCCTAAGATTGGGAGGAAAATGAAAAAATCCAGCACCGTGGCCGTGCAAAACTCCAGCACAGAGACAGTGCTGGGAACACTGGGAAGAGAATTAAAGGTTTCCAGCTCAGGGGGTGAAAGGACAGCGTTCGTGAAAAACACAAGCCACAGATCCACATGCTGGATTTTACCAGCTGTGGAAGTTTGGGAGCAACTGAATAAATTTTGCTGTGATAAAGATCTTTATCTGGTCTGGCTGCCCCAAAGTGATCTGTGCCATGGCACTTTCTGGGGGAATTATGCTTGTCTCTGTTAGGACTAAACTGAGAGCTCTTCTTAGCTAAAAACACAACTGCAGCATATTCCTAAATAAACAGCTGTCCCAGAGGGAGTTAACCATGTTTTAGGCTTTTTTTCAGTCTTATGAAATATGTATTGCCCCAAGTCATGGGAAAATCTAGGAGACAGAGGCAGCTCCTATTTTGCACCTTCAGAGTGTTTGGCATATTTTTGTTCTGGTAACTGTGAAGAAAGTCTCCTTTCTGACACTTTTTGGCATTGCCCTGCCCAAACAGTGAGCCCCAACCACTGCTACAGATCACATGCTAAATTCAAGGCAAGCAGGAGGTGGTGCCACAATAAATAGCTTTACTGATCTCTTCATGGTGGTTTATCAACCCTCTACAAGCATCCCAAGCCCTGGACAGGGTTATGGACAGCCAAGGCTCTCAGCCACAGCCCTCCACGTGCAGCGCAAAGGTGAGCACTGCACTTTTCAAAGCGTCTTTTGATCCCATTTTATATTTTTCCCCTAAATAAATGGGTTGGTGAGGCCCTAAATGGCCTGCAGTGTTATGGACTGTCCATGTTTCCCTTGGTCAGTGCTGGGAGCCAGGCAGAAAGGGTTTAGTGCCACCTCTGCTTAGGGAAAGGGTGTAGGAAACCCGACCCAGGGCTTTTCAAGCCTTCTCAAATGAAGGTTTAAAATAGCCCCAGCAACCTGGTGAGTGACCTCAGTAGCTTAACGAGTCCTCTCAAACCAAGAACTAAGAGAGGAGCACGAGAATGAAGTTACTGAGGAAAATGTCTACATTGAGCACTTCACAGGTGATGCTCAGAACCCCCTCAGTGCTCTCAAACACCAGCTCTGAAGAGGTTATTTAGAGATCTCTTTGCAACTCATTATCCTTAAGCAAAAATAAACTGCAAACATGCAAAACAAGTGTCCATTTGCTATTTTCATCATCTCTCCTTCCTCTGGCTCAGGTGTGTGTGGAGCATATACCTGTTGGAGGACTAAGATCATTCCTGCTCCTTACTGCGATGAAGGAATTAAATACAAAATCTTCTGTAGGAAGCAATTGTGAAGTGTGGAAGTTTCTAGTCAGGCAAATAAATTGGATTTAAGTATATTACAGTCATAATCTTTTTCTGCCTCTCTCCAGACAGCCTTTGTACATGGAGAAATGAGAATGTATTCTCAGACAAATCTTGACCTGAGGGAGAAGGCTGCGGGAATCTGGATTTTCAATAACATAAGACAATAAAGCTCAGACTTCTAACCTGCCGCAATATGGTAAAAGTATAAAGAGCTTAGCAACTAATAAAAGAAAAGGGTCTTCCAACTCATATTTGAAGATCTAGACCCCCAAAAGGACACTTCATAAAGATCATAATGGGTTAGTCAGTATCTAACAGATACCATGTACCTTGTTGACCAATTGTCTGACAGTTGTCTTCTGCAGGCCTGGATATTAATAAGCCTTGTGTTGATTTCCTTGGGGTATTTTGTCTTCGTAATTGTACATCTACTTGTTGTGACACTGCAGCTCGCTATATATTTATTTAATGTGATTCCTATAGCAAAAAAAAAATAAAAAAATAAAAAAAATCAGTGAATGTATGGCATTGTTTCCCTCAGATGAGATGCACACACTGCAAATTTCCTCTCCCTCCGAGCTGCGGCGAATCAAAGCTGTGCCAGGGAAAGGGAGAGCTCCCGGTCTTGGGGCAAAGAGGAAATCCAGATGTGTTTTCCCCTTAGGTGTGAATATGTCTTACTCCTTGCATTACACAGGGAATATAAAGGGATTCAATTATCGCCGCATTTTGATTTCTAATAATAACAAAAACTCCTTCTAGAAGGGATTCCATTAAATAATGTTTTGACAGATAATGCTGGTGTAAAGTAGCTGTCAGTCACACAGCGAGATCAAGGGGAAACAGATGCACGAGGCAGATCACAGAGAGGCTTATAGAGTGAAAATGAAGCCTGTTCCAAACTCCTCTCACTAACAAAACAAAGGCTGCCTGTGGCCTGATCCTGCTCTCAACCATGTTCTGTGCAGCTACTGAGCAAAATGCAAATATTTAGAGATTGCCTGCGAGAGATAAATTGCAGTTTTCCATAGATTCTCAAATACAGGAATATTTAAAGAGCTCTGTGTTTGTAGCTCCCTCGGTCATACCAGATGTGGCCTCACCACTGTAACACCACAAGACAGGGGGAGGAGTGGTGGCTGTTGAGTCCTTGGCCAAACTACTCCTCTTCCCTGCACCTGTCCCACTCCAGTTCCTGGCCAGGACACTGTCCCTGGCTTTCAGAGAGGCTGCTCATACTGATGCAAGTCTGAAAACACCAGGTTTACCCAAATATCACCTTTACTTGTCCCTGGGAACAAAGCTCAGCCCCCATTTGCTGCTTGGTCCATCCCTTCCATGGTCTGGAGAATCTGCAGCTAAAGGGGAACTTCCTTCCTTTGTCCCACCTTCATCATCATCATCATGGAATCACAGACTGGTTTGGGTTGGGAGCGACCTTAAAGACCACCCAGTTCCACCCCCTGCCATGGGCAGAGACACCTTCCACTCTCCCAGGTTGCTCCAAGCCCCATCCAACCTGGCCTCGAACAACTTCACTACATTCCCCTTAAAGTTTATCCTGTGGTGAAATATTTTCCTTTTGCTCCAAGTTCCCCACAAAATCTCACACAAATGCTTTGTCACATCCCTCTGCCTTCCACTAACTCACCCTGGCTGTGCTGATCCCAGTTCCCAGCCAAAACAAGCCCCTCAGGGCAATTCCTGCTGCTGTTGCCTCCTGGGGTCTCCGTGTTGTGCCTCCAACACAGGATCAACAGAGATAAATGGAACAACAGAGTGGAGGGAGCCTGTGCTGGAAAAGACAGAGTATAAAAATTAAGACTATATTGATTTGTAGCAACATCTAAAGTCACAGTAGACTGTGAGGTGAGCAGCTGCCTAATGAAGAGGGGTCTGCAGGTAACATTTCCATACTTGATCCTGGCATATCCTGGGATAAGATAAATCATGGGAAATGAGAGGAATAATAGATATGTGTTTCAAGGAATTTGCTTAGGGGACAGATTAAATTACAACTAATTATAATATTTAAAAATAAATCTCCAAACTTTCCATATGAGCTCTGAAAGAGCTCATTGAAAACTATTAACTATAAACTATGTTCACAAGTTACTCAGCTTTTAAAAAAATAGACTTGATTTTTTCTATTGCTAAAATTATCCTGGAGCTTGAGCACAAAGTTTAAATACGGGATTAAGAAAGGAAATACACACACAAAAGGGTCACTGCTTTATTCCCTGGCAACTCATGAGTCAGGAACAGGAAATCCAAGCTCCCTCTCCCAAATCACCTCCCCCACCCAAGGGTGCTGTTCCAGAGTGGCAATGAGGCCAACCCAGGTCACAAGCAACTGTGTGACACCCAGGAGATTCCTTAACCTGCTCTAGAGGAATGTTATCTTCAGCTAAAGTGTTTTAACTTAAAATTTTCAGGTTTTGGATAAAATTTCAGTTGGAGAGGAAAAAAAAAAAAACAAACCTGAAAATAGCAAAAGTTTCTAGAAGGAAGAAATGAAGCGCCAAGGGATCTGCTCCACCACCTCCATATTCCTCCAGCACCTTCCCACCAGTGATATGGGTAAAAATACAAATATTTATAGAAGACAATTAGCCCAGGTGATAAGGGGAGGTTATTATGGGGTGTTGTGCTCATGGGAAAGTGCTGGAAATTATGGGGTAAGGCAAAGGAATAATCTATCTGGATAATCCCAACAAAAACTGCTTCCGGACTGTGCAAGAACCAAGGAAAATGGGAAATGCTTCTTTTTAAATGGATTATTAATCTAGAGTGGTCTATAGCTCAAAGCGTTGTGAGTGCTTGAGGTAGGGTCAATAAACCTGTGTTTTTAAGATAGATTGTAATAAAATGCTTTCCTTTAAGCATTCAGGATTAGTGACAGGAGGATGCTCTGCCCCTGGATCCTCAGCATTGGACAGCACGTGGCCTTGGGCACCAGTGAGCTGCTTATTCATTTGTCTTTTTTTAAACACTCAGACAGAGTTACAAGATAAGACACAAGTGTAACTAAACTTAACAAGCATCTAATTTTATCCTTTGTTTTGCTTGGTAAACATCAGCTTACAAAGTCAGAGCAGAGAGCTGCAGCTACCCTTGGGAATGAAAAAATATAATTATTTACTACAAAACATACTGGATTTTAGTGATTTTGGGGTGACTTTATGAAACTGTGGCTGAAAAGTTTTGTTCCCCCCCCCCTTTACCTGAAGTTCATTAACTAAATAAATTTCCATAAATGCCTTTCTCTGAACAAAACAACAAATGGGTTTTACTTTCCCCCCAAAACTCATTTGGACTCAGGAGCTCCCAAGCAGCCCCCATTCCATGGGAATCAGGGCTGTACGCACACAGGCTTTTGAGCAGAATTATGCCAAAAAATGAATTTTAATGCCCCAAAAGTGCTGAAAATGAACAAAATTCTGCACAAAAATTTCACTTGTGGAGCCCAAGGTATGATCAAACCTCCTGTGACTGAACTAGACAGAACATGGGGAAAATGTCCCATCCCTGGCAGCATCCAAGGCCAGGTTGGATGGGATTTGGAGCAACTCGGTCTAGTGGAAGGTATCCCTGCCCATGGCAAGGGGAGGGACTGGGTGAGCTTTAAGGTCCCTTCCAACCCACACCAATCTGGGATTCTATAAAAACCTTGATCACTTCAAAACCACCAGCAAGTTCATTCAAAGCAGAACTCCTGGAATTTGGTGTGCTGTGATTCTGGGAATGCTCCTGCCTGGAGCACAGGCACAGACAAACACAAGTCTGTGCCTCAATACTTGATTTATTTGTCATCTATTACGTTATTATCACTTTATTTATCATGTATTTTAGGCAATGTGCTGCAGCAGCAGCACTGGCTCCTGCAGGCTGCCCGTCATCTCTGACTGTGTTTCACTGACCTGCAACTTTTACATCTACATTTTCAAGCTGATATTTAACTTGAATGATCAAATCCAGTATTTTCTGGCTCTCTGACAACGTTAAACCAGATCAAGGTGCTGCACTGGGAAATGGACTGTCATATCTCCTTTTCCTTCTCTATTCCAGCACTAAAGTTGCATTTAGGACCAAGTGCAGGGATCTGTGGTCCAGCAGCTTAAAAGACCCAGGCACTTGCTGGAGGAGACAGAGGGAAACAGTCTAATGTGCTCTTGCCATGTGGTAATTTTCCAGATAAATGGACAGTTGCTTCAGCAGCTCCACTGTTGAAGGTCAATGATCCATATAATACGGGCAATTACGGAAGTATTTCCATTGCAGACTCGGTGACAAATTTTTAGTGCAAGACAACAGATAAACTGGAACAGCAGCACCAGAATGAAGGCATTGAACTTGGAATCCTACATCCCAGCTCCTGTCTGGTGTTCGCTGGAGGGATCAGCTCTCCATCCCCAGCTCACCTGGGGATTTTCTTCATATTTTCTTATTTTGGCATTTCTTAATCTAAAATTACTTAATATTGAGCCTAAATTACCACCACCTGGCTTTCACACAGCCCACTTTTCCTGCCCTCTAGTTCAAAGTTAAGCGCTTGGCTGTTTTATGAAGATTCTCTAGGGCTGAAGGGGGGAAAAAAAATAAAAAAAAATCAAATAAGGGAAAACTCCTCAGCAATTTGAAAACTTGGGCTCCCGGCGGAGGCACAAACATAACATTGCCTTTTAAAGCAAGGCAGAAAGCATTTTCAGGAGTGTGTTCTGCTGGTACTCTGACAAACACCACACACGAGGCTGGCTGGAATCACAGCTCACCTGCTCATGGTTCATGAAGATTCCAAGCAAAACATGGGTTGAAATAAATAATTGTTTTGTGTAATGAAGTGTGCACGAGGTCTCTGGTGACAGGACCAAAGGGAACAGCTGGAACTGTGTCAGAGGAGGGTTAGGTTGAATATTAGGAAAAGGTTCTTCCCGCAGGGAGTGGCTGGGCACCGAACAGGCTCCCCAGGGCATGGCCCCAAGACTGTCAGAGCTCAAGGACTGTTTTGACAACACTCTCAGGGATGGGTGGGATTGTTGGGGCGTCCTGTGAAGGGTCAGGAGTTGGACTAATGGTCTGTCTGTGTCCCTTCCAGCTCAGGAAATTCTGTGATTCTATTAAGTAACCGCTCATACCATGGCATGGGCTGTTTCAGCACCACTTGCATCCCAAAAAGCCAGGCCCTTCCTGCACAGTGTTACAACATGCCATGAGAAATCAATTCCAAACCCTTGAAAATATTTCTGAGCATCCCAGAGTCCCTCCCTGGCAGCACCAACAGTTCCAGCTCAGAGCTTGTAAAAAGCAAAGAGGTTCTTGCACCTTCAGCATCTGCTTATAAACCATCTACACACACCAAAATGTAAAATATCCAGGTGCCCTCAGCCATCCAGGGGCTGGGGAAGTTTAACGATAAACACATAAGACCCTGAAAGACTTTTGTGATTTCTGATGGGAATACATTAAACCTGTGGTAGTGCTTCCCTTGTGGATTGTACTTCTGTTTCAGTTTCAGTTTACTGCTGCTTTTCCCTATCGTGTAAGAGACAGAGTGCCATTTCATTCCACCAAAATGAACGGGAAACATCCGTAAAGAGCAGCCTTAATGGTGGAGGAATTCACCAGGGACAGCCTTTGGAGTTGTTCAAGAACCTATTTCAAAATTTAAGCAGATTTTGCTAAAAAGGAAAGAGAGAAGAAAGAGACTTGAAATGCTGGAATTTAACCTTCATGTAGAAAATGAAAGAATGTTTTCAGGAATACCCGAGGCAGAAGCCATCCCTCCCCTCTCTCCCTCCCTCCCCACAAGCAGGACCACTTGGCAGAAGCCAGGACTGACACAGGAACCATTCCTTGTGCAAATAAGTGATTTTGTACAAGATTAATTAGTAAGGGGAGACAGTTTGGGATATCTTATGAGGTCAGTGGCTCATTTATGAAATACGCAGTGATAATCCACAGCCATGGAAGAGCTGGATGATCAGCAGATCATTGACTGGTTCAGGTTGAAAGGGACCTTTAAGATCACCTAGTCCAACCCCCTGCCATGAACAGGGACACATCCCACAAGACCAGGCTGCTCAGATCTTGCAGTATTAGCACTGACTTGTGTTTCTCAAGGAGATAAATAGGGATGGGACAGTCCAAGGGCCGAGTTCCTCCTGCCCACCAGCATCAGATTGAAACAACCAGGAAAGAGCTCTCCCTACAAACACCCCAATCAATAAATTCATGAATTACATATTTTTGGACGTCAGGAAGAATTTCCTCATGGAAAGGATTTTTAAATATTGGAAGGGGTTGCCCGGGGAGGGGTAGTGGATTCCCCATCCCTGGAGGTGTCCAAGGAATGACTGGACGTGGCACTCAGTACTCAGGCTAGGTGACAAGGTGGGGATCGAGCACAAGGTGGACTCAATGGGCTGGGAGGGCTTTTCCATCTTTAATAATTCTATGATTCTACATCACTGCCTTCCTGGAAGTATCACTGTGCCAGGTTCCCAAGGAACTTCTGTAACATACAGTTAACATATCTGATGTCTAATCCAGCAAAATAAGGTAGGTGGGTTTGGCAAAGCTTCATCAGGAGAATCTCTTTTGAATTGCATTAATGCCAACATCTAACATTTTTTAAAATCACTGATTTATCATTGATCTGTCGCTGTTGTGCAGAACAGATACAGCAAGTCCTGCATATTTGCTCTGAACTCTTCTCAAAGACATATCCCAGACAATGACATGGAAAGGATAAATTTATTCTCTCTAATGTGAGCTGAGGCCACTAATGGGAACTAAATACACTGATTTTCCCCGTCCTGGGCAGCAGCTCATTGGACAAACACTGTTCCTGCTATGTACACAAAAACTCCTCCCCTAAAACATCCCCCAACCCTGTTTTCTCTTGTAAAAATTATGTAATTGCATGTTGGTTCAGAAAATTGCATAAAAGTTGCCTCTATTATGATTAATTGTCCCCACGGCTTCTTGTAAAA